AGGAAACAATCCAGCACCAGCTTTCTTGGCTTTCTGACCATTATTAGTCCTAGAGAAAAGCTGCGTTACTAAGTAATCCATGTTGATGGTGAGTTCAAGTATTATTGCATAACCAAAGATTTCCAGCCGTCCAGTGATATAAGCCTTGCCTTGATTTTTTCTTCCAATTTTGTCTGAAAATTCGAAGATTTATTCTTATTGATTTATGTTATTTAGGTAATTAACTGTGTGTGCTATCTCTAAATAAGGTTATAGCTAGCAGACATTGCAATTCACAGTACGTTTTGTGTCACACGTTATGAGTACCGACCAGAAATAGATTAATAAAAACCAAAGTGCTCGTAAATAGGGATGGTCTAAGCATCGGCGTAGCAATATATCTGTTCATTATAATAAGTTTGTTTATTTGTTTTAGAGAAAATCAACATTAGGCTATCTGTTGTGTCCATCGAGGGGAATCGAACACGAGATTTTAATGTTGTAAGTCTTCAGACGTACCGCTGCCTCATCAGGGGATGTTAATCATAATAAGATATATATATAAATAAAGATGTTCTGAACAGCATTGTGAGAACGTTTTTTTTAAATTAACAATATTATTGTGAAGAATGGTGTGAAGATACTTGTGAGAAATTCTAGAATACGTCTTTTAACTAAGAGCTTTGCTGCTGACAAATGACATTCAGCGCCTCTAGTGACTGAGATTTATCACTAACCAAAAAAAAAAACTTAAATCTTTTTAACAGTTCCGAAAATTATGTAAAGTGAACTCAATTTATGAGTTGTTACATTATTTCTTATATACGTTATTGTAAATAATTATGGAACAGTGAATAAAATGGGTACAAAATTCAAATAATATAGGATTCTTCTCCCCTCTTTTATATGAAAATGAACTACACCAGTTTACAGTCATATATTAATAGTCTACATCATGTCTGGCTGTCAGACAGTGCCACACAAATATAGCATCTATACAGGTGTATGAACTCGTACTATTTTCAGCAGTAGTGAGACGAATACACTAATAGTTCCAAAGACAGAAACGCCTTATGGCAAACATAGAAATTGAGGTATTAGCTTAGACATTTGACAGATTGAGACGGAATTAAATTTTTTCCCTAGGAGTTTTACGGAAACTCTGAAGACGATACGTGATACCAGTATTGCTATAGTAGAAGCGATAGAGGTAGAAAGTCCACACTCTTCAAACTCATGGTATGCTCTTTACATGAAATACGGAAGTCCAGTATATATATATATATATATATATCTTGTCAATGACATAGCTGTAAGTACAGATATAAATGTTATTTCCAAAACATCATTGTTTAGTTGCCCAAAACTAATGCTTAGGGAAGATAACAAACCCAAAAAAGCTGAAATTGTCATCACACCTCAAAATTTAAATTGTTCGGCAACAATTCATGATGGCAGAGGGTAAAACACTATCTCGGTCAACGTACAACACCTACCAGGAAACATATTTGGAAACCGGTAAACGTATATGCTGCATCTCAATCAATGATGTTAGGGATCTATACAAAATGGATGGCACCCTGACTGCTGATAGATACATGCACATAATTACTCATTGTATCATTTCCTCTGGAACAAGACCTGTTAGACAGGTAGTAAGTAGTCTTCCAGCAAGACAGTGGTACTAATATTGCACAAACTGAAATGAAACAATACCTGGACGTACCCACCTACACAAGTCCTGATATTAACATCATTAGGACTATTTAGGCCTATATGGAAACTGAGAAAATCAAACTGCAACCAACAAATTGGCTGAATTGTGATAACTAACACAGGACGTTTGGAACAATAATACACAGATTGATAAACTTATAGTAAAATACAAGTAAATTACGTTGTTTTGTGTAAAACAAATTAAAAATATTTATTTGCCTTCTTTTGATTTTCCGTAATAATGTACTGTTCTAATGGTGAATTGAGCATTTACTTTAATTATTCATTGTTTGTGTCTCCTATCTATTAGATATCAGTTCTCTCTATACATATATATACTAGAAAACATATTATATCATTTACTTTAATTACTCATTGTTTGTGTCTCCTATCTAGTAGATATCAGTTCTCTCTCTATATATACTAGAGAACATATTATATTATAATATGTTTTGATTTAAGGGGTGGTCCTTTTATAATTGGGTGATATAAAAATTATTTAGGAGATAGTGTTGAGGTCATGATCTGCGATAACACTTGACTTTGTTTTCATTGGTGCATGCAATCTTTATTTAATTATATTTAGGTATATTTGAAACACACTGGATGAACCTGCATATTTATGCCTTCCCCTAAGACACGGATATATTCTATTTACTTGTTTCCCCTTATGTACACAATTGGCTAAACTGTCCTGGACAGAGAACCCTGTGTACCAAGGAGACGGCAAACAGTTGTCAGCATCGACCGCCTAAGGTTGTTGTTGTTTTTGTTTGTAGTTAAACATAAAGCTACACAAAGGGCTATTTGTGCTCTGCCCACCACGAGTATCGAAACCCGGTTTCTAGCAGTACGAATCCACAGACACACCGCTGTGCCACTGGGGGCCCGCCTAAGGTGACTATTATTAAATGAATAGAAAGATTGACTGTCAATCATATAATGTATACATAGTCGAAATTGTAAATCTTGTTTATTAGCACCACGTCTCGAACCCGAGATTCTGGATGTCTAGTCCGATACTCTAAACTCTAGGCTTCCCCTGGGCCAAGAAAAAACAAAAATCAATAATATTTAATACAACTGTTTTCATTCGCTTGGAATTAACAATAAATAAATAAATACCAATTAATTAATTTCTTAGCTAGCTCAGGCTAGTGATATACATAATTAAGATATCAAACAATCTAATTTTATTGTAGGATATTCGCAAGTTCTTTTTATATTTACATAATGCCTGTTTCAAACGTTCTGAGAGCATATAAACCAACGTTGTGATAATTACCTATGACACAGTGACACTCCTTTAACTATACATTCCAATATAAACTTTGCTCTATCCATATTGCTATTTAGTTTCTCTTATGCGGTCATCATTTTTAACATACACAGCAGTCCTGTGAATGTGATGATAAGGTAATCACCTATCTTCATGCCAAGTTACCTTCTAAAACTGGTTAACAATTTTAAAATGTCTTTAACTACAGAAAGTGAGAAAGTTCTGATTGTCAGAAGCTGTTGATGTCTTTGGCATTCATAAGTTAAGGCATCATGCCGTAACATCACCAGTATCTAGTTGTCATCAATTGCAGAATATACAGTTATAACAATTAATATTTAGCAAAACAGAATTTGCAAAATAATATAAATCTTGTACTTGTGTAAACTGTTTGAATGGAAATTCCTGGATGGATCCGAGACTTAAGACGTTGTGGGCCTTGAATGAAAGCCAGTTCCCGTGTCCAGATAATCTTCTGGGTTTTGTCTCTCCTGTCCCATTCGTTCACGAACGAACATGTTTCTCCTCAGAGTTTAATTCTCCTATGGTTGAGACATATGTTTATACATTTGAAGATTTTTCTTATTTGCTGAAGATTAAGTTCCTGATTCTAAAGGTAATTGCTGACTTTTGAAAGATGTTGCAATATAGTTTATACCGACTTTCTTAATGAGAGAGGATTCCAGATCTCAACCATACACCTGCCAACCACACGTAATCATGGTTTGACAGATGGCGCCCTTTAACAATATATCCCACGTGACTTCACTTAAGTCTCAGATACGAGCAAGAGCTTCTGGTGTTTGGTGAAATATACGCGCACGCAATCATCTACTTCTTGCACGCTGTGCCGCGGCGAACGTACAAAGCAGTAATCGAAAATAACGAAGAATACTTGTACATCACAGCCTTCTATATGAAAGCAATGTTTAATGGCAGAATACTTGCTTGATAATACTAAAAATGAAGTAAACAGGCCCTGTTGTTTAGAAAGGAAGACTCCTAAGTATTCAAAGTCGTATATCTTAATGTACGTGAAGTCACGATATTGTCTTAATAGACTATTTAGTTGAAATACTTGGGATAAAAAGAAGCCGCACAGACGTTATTGTTCAATAAACGTTGCCCACCTGCGCACGGTATGTAAGCAACGGTTTCAATCTAAACCAGGTTTTTAGATTTCCTGCGTTCAGAGGTTACTCACCGAGACCGAATCTGTGCTTTAGTGTGAGTTATGGCTAGTGTTTCCACAAAGTATAATCGATGGACCAGTAATGCAGGGAAAAGTAGAACTTATATACTGGGTTTATATACAGTTCTATCTTCGTGGCCTCTTGTAGCAGCTCTTCTGCTTCTTGTAACACCTGGACTCTTCGTTAATAGTAAGTGTTTGATCATTTGATTTATCATCTGAATGTCCCTCTAAGCTGTCTGTATTTCATCTATAATCCAGAATCTTTAGAATAGTTTGACAGAGCTGATTCAATCCCGGAATTAATTAAACTAAAGTATTATTAAATCCTTAGCGTTACGAAAGCGATTACCTTAGTATAGTAGCTATCGAACTATAAAAAAAAAATCAATAAGTTGTCAATACAGGTTTGTGTTCTTTGAAAATCTGTTATATTCAGTGGTTATCAAAAATGTATTATTGATCCCTTAGTTTTGGTTTTACTGATCTGTAATTGTACGGGATTCGAACATATTCTGCTCACACAGTGTTTCGTGCTCCAATATATCGGTCACATTCTACATTAGAAGTAATACTTAGGATACAAACTATAAAATAAGGTTATATTGAAAGGTTTGACGAGTTTAAACTTCGATAAAGCAACCTGGCAATATGTAACAACGGCAGCATAGATAGGAGAGGGAGGTTAATCCAGAAACAAACAACAGAGCGGTGGGGTTAGGTATATACGCAGTTAGGACCTACGTAGTGGTTGGGGATACACTGTCTATGAGATTTAATATTTAATCACAATCCTCACATGTGGAATTGAATTATAAATTTGAACAGGTATGGATGATCAAACCCTTAATATCCTTAATATGCTACAACCATCCATCATCTGAAACCGGTGATAGAAAAAACGTTGCTCCTTACCACCCATTATCTGAAACCAGTGGTGGAAGAAACATTGTTCCTTACCATCCATCATCTGAAACCAGTGGTGGAAGAAATGTTGCTCCTTACCATCCATCATCTGAAAACAGTGGTGGAAGAAACGTTGCTCCTTACCATCCATCATCTGAAACCAGTGGTGGAAGAAACGTTGCTCTTTACCATCCATCATCTGAAACCAGTGATGGAAGAAACGTTGCTCCTTACCATCTATCATCTGAAACCAGTGGTGGAAGAAACGTTGCTTCTTACCATCCATCATCTGAAACCAGTGGTAGAGGAAACGTTGTTCCTTACCATCTATCATCTGAAAACAGTGGTAGAGGAAACGTTGCTCCTTACCATCCATCGTCTGAAACCAGTAATGGAAGAAACGTTGCTCCTTACCATCCATCGTTTGAAACCAGTGGTAGAGGAAACGTTGTTCCTTACCATCCATCATCTGAAACCAGTGGTAGAGGAAACATTGTTCCTTACCATCTATCATCTGAAACCAGTGGTAGAGGAAACGTTGCTCCTTACCATCCATCGTCTGAAACCAGTGGTGGAAGAAACGTTGCTCCTTACCATCCATCGTCTGAAACCAGTGGTAGAGGAAATTTTGCTCCTTACCATCC